TCAAATGGTTTTATTTTAATAAAATTTTGTATAAGTACTTAATGAAGCATAATAAGTAAATGATAAAAATTTCAATATCATTGCACTGCTTTAAAGCCCTTTGATCTTTAATAATGTGTGGATGCACCCTGATGTGCTACGCATTCTCCAACGCGCCTAGGCATGCTTCTGATCAGGTGGTCAATGTCCTCCTGTGGTATCCCATTCCAGGCAACCACCAACTCCTCTCGAAGTGCTTCTAGAGTCTGAGGAGGACGATGCAAATTGAGCAATCTCCTACCCATCATATCCCCCACGTGCTCAATTGGGGATAAGTCGGGAGATCTTGGTGGCCATGGTAACAATGTGACATAATTATGTTGAAAGAAGTTTATTGTGACTCTTGCAACATGTGGTCGGGCATTATCTTGTTGGAAAGTTGGATCTGCCAGGGTGTCAAGATAGGGTAAAAGATGGGGTTCTAGAACTTCGTGGATATAACGCTGCGCGTTCATGTTACCTCTGATGAAGATTAAAGGTGACCTGGAGCCATAAGCTATAGCACCCCAAACCATAACTCCAACAGTGTGATGAACATGTCTTTCAACAAAAAACTGTGGATTCCTCCTTTCACCACGTCGCCTTCTAACCCTGGCACGACCATCGTGCATGCCTAAACAAAATCGAGACTCGTCACTAAAGACAATACTGTTCCATTCCTGATCCCAGAGTGACCGTTGTCTGCACCACTCAAGGCGATTACGTCGGTGTTCTCGAGTTAAAGGGAGGACCCAGTGTGGCCGGTATGAAAACAAGCCAAAACTTCTCATTCGTCGGTAAACACTTCGCATGCCAATAGGTCTTCCGTGTTCTGCAAACCATTCATTTGCAATGGACCTGGTAGTGGAGAAACGGTCCCTTAAGGCCAATAATCTTAGGCGGCGATCTTCACGGTCTGTTGTTCTACGGCGGCGTCCAGTGCCCCTTGCTCTTTGCGTACGGCCTTCTCGAAGCCATGCCTGACAACACCTAACCACAGTGTCTACAGTTCTTTGCACTCTAACTGCAATTGCCCGAAAAGAAAGTCCAGCTTCCCGAAGTCCCACTATACGGTGCCTATCAAACTCACTAAGTTGACGAAATCGTACGGGTCTCCGTACTCTAGGCATCGTAACCGATCGTAAAGGATGTCAAGAACCAAAATCCGCCAACGTTGATTCTTTACTGCGGCTGAAATATTCATTTTTAGAGCGTTAGTGAATTAAAAAAAAGCAGTATAAAAACCGGAATGTCCAACTGATAAGGCTGAAAATTTTTTCACTTGTTATTTACAGTAAGATAAATACATTTACCAACTTTTATTAAAATAAAACCATTTAAACTGGGTGTTCGGGTTTATATGTCACTTAGTATAGAAAACATACAAAAGCAGGCGATTCTATCTAAAGTAAAAAACAAACAAGAACAAGAAGAAAAACATATTTCACTTAACTGAGAAACATATAAATTCCTAGCTACTCCTAGAATGCTGTTCAAACTGTCAGCATGCATGGTATATCTCAAAAATTAGATATGGCATTAAAAGGTTCACGAATTATAGTGTATAATGGGTGCTTTCAAAAATTAATTTGTGCGAGCCCAGTCACGATAAAAGGCTTTAACGGTTTTAACACACACTTCATTCTCAGCTCTAAAAACTGCATTTGAAATCTAGACAATAACAAACATTCAGGTAGATCCTCAGGATATGCACCGTCAACCTTGAAAGATAAAAAAATTGAGAAACTTCTCTGAACATGCTCAAGAAAATCAATGTAGCAGTTGTAAATTGGGTTCCAAATTAACAATGCATATTCCAATTTCGATCTAATATATGCAGAATACAAAACCAACTGTGACTCTGGGCGGCTGAAGCTTCAACAGTTTCTCACAATAAAACCGTACGCTCGTGAAGCTTCACTCACCTTTTGAGCTATCTGGTGGGCAAAATTAAGTTTATGATCAAAAACTACACTCAAATCCTGAATTGAGACCCTACGATTTATGTAAACATTCCCAATCTTACAATATATAAATTTACAAACCGACATTTTAAAGGCATTAAGAAATAAACTATTATCGTCACACCAAGCTAGTAAAGCATCAATATCCCGCTGAAGTGCAATATAATCAGCCTCAAAATCAATAATCCTGAATGATTTTAAATCATCCACAAAAAGAAGAAGAAATTATTGCGCGATATCATCAATAAATAAGGTAAACAATAAAGGACCAAGGATGGATCCTTGGGGCACTTCCGATTTAATTACATACTGGTACGACTTCAAGCCATTGAAAGTAACATTTTGCTTCCTTTTATAAAGAGAACTTTGAATGAGTGCTAAAGCTGATGAATGGAATCCATAATCAGAAAGCTTATATCAATTAATTACGAAACCCTAATAGACATGTATACAAAAAATGGTTGTAATACATTCATCATCACTGGGTGTCTTCTATGTCACTTAGGATATTGAGTTAAATATTTGAGAAACGGCCAATTTTGGGCAAATAGGTGAAACATACGAAACCTAGGCTTTCAAAGTGCCCAGTGGGTACTAAGATAAAACGGAACATGTTGATTAAAATTTAAAATACATGCTTTTTGAATGTTTGATAGTAAAAATTGCATAGTTGCGTTCGATTTAGTTATTTTCGAGGTTAAAGGCTCTGTTCCTTTGCATCGGATTTATATTAAGGATTATAAAGAATCGAGTTGGAAAATTTCTCACTCGGAGGAGAGGTTTTGGCCTCGCCTATCTAGAGTGTACTTCGTGGCCAGTCACATCACTTTTCTCAGATACATAAGAGAAAATGTTGATGTCATTTCCATGATCTGGGTTTCAGAAGTTGTTATAATGTAACATCGACAAAGACCAATTTTTTGGCAATGGTATTTTGAAAAATGTTCAGTTTTTTTTGTTTCTTCTATTTTCTTTTTTCTGCCACCCTGTATAACATACGCTGTGATGTAGATTTTCGGTTCCGCCATAAATAATATGTTTTTATGTTATGAAGAACTGTCAAATGACAATACCTACGTCATAAACTTTTCCAATCATTGTAGACATGTGTTTTTATATAAATACGCGAAGCTATTACGCCCAAAATCAAGGAAATTTCAGTAATTGACGGTAAAAATGTCATCACCCTATCATAATATTATTGTTACATTAGATAACGTTGTCGTTTTTAAACATTACTAATTTGTCATCATAACATTGATTCTTATCATTCACCATTTCCTAATCAATCATTTTCTCAGCTGTGTTAAATATGTATATTCAAAGCAAACTACAGGGGGTTTTCCAGTTGCGTTTAAATATACAGTGCTTTTTTTGAACAGCCCAAGTTATAAAGGTACAGTCAGAGTAATGCCTCTAGCAAAAAAGTGGCGGTTGAAAATTCCATGCACCATTCTAGAATTTTTTTTAGTGCATTGAGCGGTCATGTGATACATCATTTTGAAGCTTTCTGTGAGTACTCAATAGCTCTAAAGTACAAAATCATTATCTTTCAAAACGGCGAATCGCCAGGCTGTCAAAGTTGAGCGCTTTTGTAGATGGAATATATAGATATATATATAACTTGAGACGTGGTCATTGTCGTCTAGACCAGTTAGGTGAAAAATTAAAGCTTCCGCCTTTTGTTGGGTACTTCGACAAAATTTAAGCAAAGAGGACTCTTTATACTTTTTTTAATTCTCTCTAGCTTTCAATGGACTTTGCCATCATCATCAGGAGCTGCAATTACAATGATAACAGTAGCAACAAAAGTGTAAAATGAATTTAAATTGACTCAACTTACAGTAGTATGTGAGGCAATTAGCAACATCCAAAGCTGCATCCCTATGCACCGAGTTCTGTCTTTTTCGAAAAGACGAATACCGGACATTTTGTTACCGATTCCTGATATTGAAATTATATTTACATTTTTGAAAGGTCCCCTCAGTCTCAAAATTTGTTTACTTTCAAATGTTTCTTTTTAATATTAAATGGTCTTGCAAAATTACAATGTTGAAAGCATATTTTGACATTACAGTTTTGGAGTATTTGTTTTAGATTTATTTTTCAGTCCTTATTACAAAAGAAGCATTTGATAGGATATACGGGGCAACCTGCATATTTGTTGAAGGTAGGCAACGCCCCAAGCTGCACAAGTTTTGAAAAATTACCCAAAATCGCTGGCATGTCTTGGCGGTCAGGAACACTGAGTTTCTGAGTTGCTTTTGGGAGGCGGTTACAAAAGAACAAATTAGACCTGCTGAATGTGGTAGTGGGAGACATTCAAATTCTGCAAGGACTAAGCCTAAATTATTCTTACGTAGGAATGAAAGTGTTTTTAGCAAAAACGCGACATTCTCGTTACCCACGATACTATTCGACTTTTGCTGCATTTCGTATTTGAAGTATACGGATGGAAGATAGAAAAACAAATAAAAAATGCAGCTATTCCATAGAGTTACCGTAATTTTTATGAAAAAACATGTAACACCTTGTACTAAAAATCATCCAAATCCTGACTACGGTAAGAATATGCTGTAACATTGGCGATCTTTTTAATGCTGCATTAATTTTTTGAGGGAACATCAAATTAAATTAACGATTAGGATGTAATACTGCAGGTACGTTGCTAGACTTAAGCCATAATAGAGTGAGAGGCTGGCATCTGCAAACGGTCACATCATTAGACTGTTCTGAGACATTCGATACCATAAATCGAGTGTAATTTTTGGGGTTTTCCAATTCTTCTGTTAATATGAGCTTTTTGCAAAATCAGGGGGAAAACGTTGGTATGTCATCTCCATAATGTCTCATTTCATCCGGAGTACCGCAAGGGTCTCTACTTGGGCTACTATTATTCATTTTATATATATATATATATATATATCCGTACACCCAGTTTAAATGGTTTTATTTTAATAAAAGTTGGTGAATGTATATAGTTTACCTATGTTGAAGAGATGATAGAAGTCAACTTACAGTTATTTCTGTCTCCCCCGAAAAGCTTATGGAACCTCATGAAGTCTGGCCTGTTCACGAAATCTCCTCCTTTAGTAATAAGAACTTCTTTGATAAGTTCAAAGCTGTTCACTACCACGCAGGGGGTCGAGCCTAGGTAGATACTAAAGACATCTCCGTATCTCTTGCTCAATTCTGTGAATGCCTCCAGTGGGTTTTGGTGCTTCGCTAGAAGATGTAAGCTGCCAATAATAGGCCAAGGCCTCGGTCCTGGTGGAATGTTTTTGTGTTTCTGTAACAATTAAGGACTTATAGGAATTATAGTAGGATCACCTGCGGTCAGACCAATGCCATTGGCTACAAATTTCGAAAATATGTTTTTCGGATGTTAATATTAATGTCACTCTTATGTGTCACAATGTTATTACTATGCCACAGACGGAAAAAGCTCTGTATTTTTTGAAAATCGTCCAGTGGCGGTGGTGCTAGAGGCAAAAAACGAAACAAGAAAATAAAAACTTATAGGAGGTAGGGGATTGTAATTGTTGAATACTTGGTATCAGTGAAAGTCGTTTTATTATAGAGAAATTTGTGATCCCGATAGTATTACCCTCTTGTTAAACACAATATTACACATATATGTATTTACGTCTGTAACTCCAGCAGCACCAGAAAAACGCTAAATGCCCTTTACCTGCGGATGGTCCGATTCGAATTCGTTAACGCCGACGGAGCCCCAGCTGCAGCGTCAGATACTAAACATGGTGCGTATTCATAGTTAAAATTCCATTTTTTTAATCAGAATGCATATTACCATTCTACTCTAAGATCTGATATCAAGGTACAAAGATTTTCATAGCCGTCGAATAATGTACAAAAATTGACTAGTCACTGGACATGGTGCATACTCAGTCCATTTATACAGAATTGTGCATAGTCGATTTACTTGATGCCGTGTTTTCACTTCCTATGCCAAAACTGGAAGTATTATAATCGCGAAAAATTTCGATATTGAGATATTATGTTTTATGGAAATTATACGACATGAATGTCATTCATTTCCATCGGTCTGTATGTCCGCTAATACGCAAAACATTGATTTTCCACAAAAATCCCATCCCTGCATTCAATATTCTGTGTTTCAAAACCGGTGCAGCTATTGCTGAGATTACGCGGTTATGATATATTCGAGTATGTATCTTGTGAATGACTTTAAAGGTCGGATAATATTTTATACCTCAATGGCGGATGACGTTTTTCAGATTCGTCAATGCTTAACGAAAATAATCGTAGATATAGTAACTGTTATCTATAATTATATAATATTCGGATGATTTTCACTATAAACAGTTTACGCTCAATTTTACTGATTAAGCTGAGGTGCTAACGTCACCATGAGATTTTCTTACGCATCTCATATGAGATGTCGTATTCGAACCAATATTATCGCATTTAGGTAATCGAAAAATAGAATAATATTTTTTTTCTGTCTAAATACTGTATTGAACATTAACATCACAACACTTGGGTTCTTGTACGTCTTTCCCAGGGATTACACATCAGCCACCTCAAACTTGTGGTGTGATACACAGCGAAGTTTCCCTTACATCAGCCAAATTTTCTGTAAAATGGATTTTTATATTTATAGGATAGGCAGTTGTAAAGCGAGTATTCAACTATCTCTTCTTCCTGTTTACATACGGATGTGACGCTCAGTTTCACATTATACAGGGTGATTCAGAAGATAGAGGTAATAGTTATAGCATAAAGTAGGTTAAAAAATAACATAACAGTTATCACAAGAATATGTTCTAAATGCTCGTCTTACAGAGATATATGACACAGAATTATTCGTGTTTCAAACCCACCGAGTTAAATTATGAAGTAGTATAATATACAGGGTGACTTCGAAGTTGAGTCATTTATTTTAACAGTGAGTAGATCTGATCAAAAGAAATGCTTCTTTCCTTTAACATTTTTCTGGTAAAATTAAAGTAACAAAGTTATAGCCCTTTAGAAGTTTGAGTACCGCCCTATCTCAATAATAATATTATGTGCTCGTGTTTGGCAACAACGGATATAATCCGCCTTATCCGTTCATCGCATCGGAAACAAAAAAGCGAAAGAATTTGAAACGATGTTTTTACTACAATGTACAATTTTATTCAGTTGTTTTCCGTCAATGTGTCAGTCGGTAACGCGTGAGTGAATAGTGGTGTTTGTTGCGTGGCTTAAATGAAATAAAAAATGCACATGTTTACGAAAATGCTGAACTTGTGAACATGATTCTTATTTACGGGGGGGGGAGGGGGGGGGGAACTCTTTATGCGGATCGGTTTCCCAATCGAGTGCAACCAACCCCTCGTGCCTTTGTTAATGTAGTACAAAGGGCTCGTGAATCAGGTGACTTAAGACCTCACAGGGGAGGGCATGCCGGTGCTCCAAGACCGCACGATCAAATACAGGTCCGCACTGAAATACTTGTCGGGAGGATACTTTATAAAACAAGGTAAAATTTTTTCTAATTTTTATTTTTATTTTTACACACATATTTTGGTTTATCTTCCTTCTACAATCATTATCTGAAAATTAATGACTCAACTTCAAAGTCACCCGGTATAAAGTCTTTTAACACATATCGGTTATAAAATGTGTAAAAATAAATTTCCAAATAAAATATCTTGAAGTCATTTCACGTTGATACATTTTACATAACTATTTATAGCTTCAATTTTTCCTTTTATCTAGTAGTATTTGAAAATTGTATTTCAAGCATATTTTTCATTATATCTCCATAACGATTAAAGATATTGATGCAAAGCTAATACATACTACATTTGGTATCTGATACTACACCAGAGGCGTAGAAATTGGGAAAATTTGACCCATACAGAAGAACAAAGAACGCCACTGGCGTTTTTGAAACATCTACTGCATTTTTGAATAAGGTATTCAATTTTACATGAATCACCACTTTTGAGAAATCTTTGTCAAACTACTCCGTATACAAAACTTTAAACTATCCTATTTAGAAAATATGCTGAAGGTAGTGAAGTCTGTCTTTGGGGACATAACAAAGTTCATTCAAGTTCTTCATAGCAGCCGCGGTGCCCTAGTATTTAGGCTTTGCCTGCGCGGCTGCTTCGGTGTACAAAAATAATTTTTGTATACTCTGTGGCCCCTTGAGTCCTGGGACCCAACGAACAGTTACTGATGAGCATCATCTTAGATCCGCCTGTGGTGGTTAAGGTAAAAGATGGAGTCAGGTAGGTTGACTCTGTATATCCCACGCAAGGCCGTCATTAGTTAATAAAGCATTATGTTCAGCACAAGTTAGACCTCATCAAAATTGACAGCGCCATAGACCTTATATCGTGGACAGAGAATAGTTGTTAAGCTTTTTTCAGAGTCCAAGCCAAGATGATGTTCATGAGTTGCCAAAATACCACGAGGCAGCTGTTCATGGTTGGCTTTGGCCGAAAGGGCGAGAGCAGCATGTTTAAGTGAAACTTTGAGAAAGAAAGTTAGTAATAAACATGTATAACATATGAATTAAATGGATCAACTCCGTCAAACAGGTCCATACATTAAGTCCATGGACATTACTTTCCTGCCTTACCCGTCGTACGGTCCATCTGGCAACGACGCCTCTACCCAATACCTGATCTCGCGATGTGTCAGACGCGGCAACGCGACACGGCGCAAGTCATCGAGGACATTTATGAACACCAGCACGGCGGCCCATGAAGCCAGAGAGCAGACGCCTATCAAAAAAACTTATCTATCGTTTTAAGGGTAAATCTATGGGAATCTATTATATGTGAAATATGCCTAATAGGTTCGTAGAATCACACCCCCGAATATAAAAAAAAGATTCAAAAAAAGGATCGGGATTATCTGAAACGTCAAAAAACCAAGTTAGATGGATTTTATTTTGATTTTGACATTTTTGGACCGATTTACATAAACAGACCGACAGACAAACCGAAAGGAGTGACCGACATGGTATTTCGTGATGTACATGTTATATATCATCCAACAAACATAATATTTCATTTCCCAAAGCTGTAGTCCAGTTTCAGTCTCTAGTATAGTATCAATGAATCAAATATGTTATTTATTACATTAACCGACGCTGCAAGTTTTACTACAAACAATCCTTTTTTGTTTAAACACACGTTAAAGCAGTTTTCCAGAAATTTCAGTCATTTGTTTATTGTAAATAAATCAAATCAAATGAAGTACAGTCATACTGAGGTTGCATTAATCTTGGTTGTTGAATGTGAGGTGATGGGACCGATTATAATCTTGTACATTCATCCTTTATTATAATTAATTCAATATTGTTGGGTATGGCGTTGACATTTACGTTGGTGCAGGTCAGTTATTCATGGTTTCGATATTAAATGCAGCTTTTAAAACATCGTATGGTGATCTTACTGATCTATCTTAATAGACTCAGCAAAAACCTTGCATTCGTGGGAGAAATCGCGTTTGTTGGATGCTGCTTAAAATAAATCTTACCAGATTGTAACCCGATAACAAATTTGTTTGAACAGTTTTTTCATCAAATTAGAGATATGTTTTTTCGATTCGAACAAAGTTTCGTAGGTTATTTGGTTCAAAGTGAATAAAAAACTTTCTCAATAGTGTTCCATTATAGTTGACCGATCTTAGGGTATTTTTGTTTAGAGATAAGCAAAAACGTCACCATTGGCACTAGACCCTGAAATGGAAAATTTCGATATTACGTTTATTTACTTTTTTCTCAGAGGGGACCAAATTGTGCCGTACATAATCCTTTATGCTTGACGCTATTTTTTAACAAATCATTGTGGGGGTTGAAAATTTAAAATGCCTTGGCGTTAATATATTCATACGATTAAACGTTTCTAGACCCGGTAGTTATGCGACTTCGAATGATGGAGATTTTTTTGATACTCGCGTCAAGCGCAATTAAAATGGGATATAAACCTGTAGCGAGATGGTAATTCTGATCATAACGTTTCAGGTCAAATGGGCAGGAACTTGGGACTAATTGTTTACGTCTATTTGACTGACTTGATCTATATTCGTAGTTAACTTTATTCTAAATTGTTCCGAGAATTATGAGCGTTGCATGGGAAGTGCAGTCAACCTACTTGACGTCAATTTTTTAAGGGGTTTTACTTTCTGTATAGAAAAATTGTAATCCAGAAGGTATCGTAGGTTCGATAGGCAAGGTTTAGCTCAATGTTCGTTTGCTAGATAAGATTCTTATTGAATATTACAGTACTGGTGGGAAAATTCCAAGAAATTGCTTTAGAAGTTTTGAAACTGTTAAAAATTTTCCGCAAGGCAATACGGAAGAAAGCATCAATATACTATTTTTTATTCGGCTCGTAAGATATATTAGCATGAGCGTTATACATTACGCATAGCTGTGGGATAGTCAGATAAGATCTGTTGGGAAAAATTTAATGTAACCCAAACAAAAATATGGAGCACAGCCAAAGGTGAAAACAATCTTAGAAAAATCATTGTTTGAGGTAAAACAAATTCTAAGCGACATTAGTCTGTGATTTAAAAAATCTATCTATCCCAAAAAAAAATATCAAAATCTGGGAACGGGTTTTCGTTACGCATTTGAATTGGTCGGTTTTCAAAATCTACAAAGCGTTCTCCTGGTATAGGAGAACCTTTATATTACAATTGAAGTACAAAGCTTCGAATAAAAATCGGCCTTTTTCCACTTTTTCTAGTAAATTGAAAACAATCTTTTTTTTGTAGTTTTTTGCTTTACGCAACTCCAAAATAACTATCTTTTTTCTATAGTTTCTCTTGAGCTCCAAAGAATTTAAAATCCAATCTGTTCATCATCAAACGTTTGAATTTGTTTAGTTTTCGCACATCTGTTGCCCCTGAATCTAAGTGTCGTTTTTCTTGTTTTTTTTTTTTGATAATTTAAAAACGTTCGTTCCTCTTTTTCATAAGGAACCTCACTGCTCTTGACTAATTTCCAGAATCTTCAAAACTTTTCCATTCTTGGTATAAAAGTAAGTTTGCGACAAAATCTAAGCTTTCAACAAAAGTCCGACAAATTTTCTGGAAATAATTTGAGAATCCTCGATTAAATGTTTTTGACAAAAGAGTCGCGGCTTTTCAAAGCTTTTCATAAAGTCACTTTCCCCTTTACAATTTTCCTCAAGTTTAAAAATCCAAGAAATTCATAATTCGAATCGAAGTCCGCGTTTTTCAAGTTATTTTTTCAATAATTTAAAATCACTGCACTGCCCTGCATCAGTTTCCAAAATTTTCAAAGCTTTCCAGTTTTGGTATAAAAGTGTTTGCGGAAAAATTCGATTAAAAGCTTTCCTCTTTACAATTTGTCTTGAGATTAAAAATCCAAGTAATTCAAACTTTTTTCGCAAAAAACAAAAAATATTTAGAACACAAGGTAGATATTATATTTACCTTGTGAAGTCGATAGAAGCCAAGTGCGATCCAAAGAGTGTTAGAAGAGTTGCGGAGGAACCACAGCAGAAGCGGTACCGCAAGTAGTACGGCGAAGAACGCGAGAAGCATGTTGCACTGTGGGAAAGACGCGAGTAGACTGACTGCCGATGGTACCTAATAGTAGTACCGTGGCACCACATACGGTTACGCGCTTGACGTGGTACCCAACGTCGCGTGACTACCCCTTCTGGAAACACTGTAAGGGTGACGTGATAAGATCACCGTATCACTGAATCAGAGCTTATGTAATGTTTCCGGGTCTTTTGGTGTCATGTACCAGATTTCGATGCGTTTTCCTTACGTTTATTGAGTCATTCTTCAAAAATTATACGCGGAAGCATATCCTAAATACCTTAATAAACGAGGCTAAGTCGTCGCATTCGTGAACGGAATTTTCTAATTTGATATTTACACGATCACGTTTGTTGGATGCCCCTTAACTTGGCGGTAACCTAGTGCAAATTTGTTTAAGCAGTCTCAAACATGTTACAAAGTTTTTTAGGTTCTTTAATGATCATTCTGAACAAACAGCAGCAGTTTTTCTCTAAGTGTGACCATCTTCAAGTCTGTAGCGATTTAAAGTAAAGCAGAAATAGTCATATAATGTAAAAAAAATCTCATATTTTATGTAGTGAAATGACTAAATTGAAGATGAATAGTATTTTGAGCTTAGTTTATTTTATAGCACTGTTATTTAATTACAAATAATGTGCTACGCGCGTGTACGTCTAGCGTAAGGAATATTCCCATACGGCGTTATTAATAATTATATAACAAAGCTATAATATAAAGTATGTCTAATATACCCTCCGATATCTTGAGAAATATTCGAACTTCATTTCAGACACGTGACAACTTCAAAAACAACAATTTTTAACCGAGATTTGCAAATTTGCTTGAGCAGTCTTAAACACGTTACAAAAAATATATGTTCCGCTCCGGACAAATTTTTTTTTAAGGTTCTTTATTGATCATTCTAAACAATAAAACAGCAGTTTTCCTCTAAAGCTGGCCATTTTCAAGTCAGGAACAACTTAGAGTAAAGTAAAAATGCTTAAGCACTTTTTTGAAAATTCTCATATTTCAGGTCGTCAAATGTTCAAATTGAAGATCCTGAAGAGTATTTGGAGCTTAGTTTATTTTAAAGCTTTGTTATTTAATATTTAATAATGCGCTATGGGCTCCGTCTAGCGTAGGAAATACTCCCATTGGGAGTTACTAATAATTAAATGAGAAAGCTGCAAGTTAAAATATGCCTAATACGAGCCCCTTCCCATTTCAGTTGGCCCAACTATTGAAATCTTAGTTTTTTTCTTATCAAACACAAATAATAAAAATGTAGCAGGGTGTTATAGGTATAAAATATTAACAATGAATATTTTGATAATATACAGGGTTATCCAAATTAAGTGTCCACCATTAGTAACTTTGTTATTAGTGAAAATACAAAGTTGTTTGAATTAGCAAACTAGTAGCATTTTTAACGCTGGTAAAAATGAGAAATAAAAAAAACAATTGAGAGTCGTTATTTTGATTTTTTTCAGTAAAATAACATTTTTTTAAATGGAAACCCCTGTATATTATATTTTTTTCTGTTAAAGCATCAAATTTTAAACAAAAAAGCTTACAATAACTTTTCTCCTAGGTTACAAATTGTTGAAGTTATGGCCTCCAATCTGAAACAATTAAATTGTATCGACAAACTTTATTTTCAACATCAACTTATAATCTTACAAAATACAATAACAATTTTTTTTAAAGAAGATGCTCGAAAACACCACCTTGTTCTTCAATACATTTTTGGGCACGTTTTTCAACTGCTCGAACTGTCTTAAGTATGGTCCTACCATCTATCTGGGTTATCTTTTCCCTAACTGCAGTCTTTAACGCGTCAAGGTTATCGTACCTTCGCTTGTAAATTTGGTTCTTTAAGTAACCCCACAAGAAGTAATCAAGTGGGTTTAGATCTGGTGATCTGGGAGGCCACTGTATTGGGCCATTTGTTCCTATCCACTGATCATTAAAAGTAGTACTTAGAAAATGATAAGTACCTCTGGAGTTGTGGGCAGGTGCGCCATCTTGCTGAAAATGCAGATGATGTCTACTTATAAGATCCAATTCGTCTAAGAAATTAGTCAGAATTTCTGACATAAATTCCACATATCTTTCACCAGTTAGGGTTCCCTCATAAAAGAACGGGCCAACAATTTTTGAACCAATTATACCGCACCAAACGTTGAAACTGAAACGGACTTGTGGACCTCTTGGATGTACTAACAAAAGATTTTCTCTTGACCAATAATGGTGGTTTTTTTCTATTAAACATTCCAGAATTTGAAAAATTTGATTCATCTGTCCATAAAAGGTAACGAAGGTTATTTACATTTTGGCGACACAAGCTAAGATACCAATGGCAAAAAACAAGTCTTCTCTCTGGATCCCCTGCCAAAAGCGTTTGAACTGGTCGGTACTTATACGGAATAAATTTGTATTTTTTTAAAATCCTTTGAACAGTACCATAACTGAAATTAGAGTCCTTGAGAATATCTGCTATTGAATTCTCACGATAAGCTTCACAATATCCAATAACTGCAATTTCCGTGGCCTCGCTTATTATGAATTCTTTTTTTGCCCTTGTTTTAGCAAAAACATTTTCGTTGCCCCTAAATTTTCGATAAAGTCTCAGAAAATATCGTTCATACGGTTGAATGCGAGCGGGATATAATTCACTGTAGTATTCTCTTGCTCTCAAGGAGGATTTTCTGCACACTAAATAGAATTCTAACATATCACACTTTTCTTCATGGGAGAACATTTTTCTTTAAATTAATGACACAATAAAGCTTATAAACAAGTATTTACACTAATGTTTGACATTATTTGATTTTATCATTGTTTTCCAAAGCCTTCTAGTTGCGAGTATGTCCAGTTTAACAATTTGTCGCTTATCTTAATGCTGTCAAATCGCGAACGCCATGTTGTTTTCATAGCCGTCTTAATATTATAATACTGCAAATAATTAAAAATATTTATCGTTATTTTGACTTTATTTTTGACTTTAGCGGAAAAGTCATTATGAACTTTTTTGTTTAAAATTTGATGCTTTAACAGAAAAAAATATAATATACAGGGGTTTCCATTTAAAAAAATGTTATTTTACTGAAAAAAATCAAAATAACGACTCTCAATTGTTTTTTTTATTTCTCATTTTTACCAGCGTTAAAAATGCTACTAGTTTGCTAATTCAAACAACTTTGTATTTTCACTAATAACAAAGTTACTAATGGTGGACACTTAATTTGGATAACCCTGTATAGTAGAAAACACCAACACTAATTTTGGGTAGTTAAGTTTTTCCAAATGGGTAGAGGAAAGGTTATTAGTGAGAAAATTCTGTTACTGATAATTAAATTTTTTAATTCTGGGAAATCAAACTCAGAAATTACAACTTTGTGAGACTTATCGCGGTACAGTGTGAGAAATATTGTTAGAAGATATAACGGAACTGGCTCAGTTAATATTAAGCCACGATATGTGAAAAAAAGTAATATCACAAATGCCGACCGAAGAGCAGTAAGAAGAATAATCGTGAAAAACAGGCGTGCCAATTATTTACAGTTAAGTGCTCTGTGGAGTGACGCTGTTGGAAGGAGAATTTCGAGGTCCACAACTCATAGAGAGGCCCACAAACTGGGATTTAGCACTTGCAAGGTAAGTTTTCTTATAAAAAAAAGTGAGTAAAAACCCTAAAGTTGCACAACTTGTTTATAGGCCAAAGAAAAGCCACTATTAACTCCACTGCAAAAGAAAAATCGGCTTAGATGGGCTAAAGAACATAGACAATGGACACCTCAACAATGGGTGCAATACAATGGAGTGATGAGGCCCGATTCGATGTTTGTGTTGGTGACAGTCGCAGTAGAGTTATTCGCAAAAAAATTAAGCATTTCATGTTGACTGTCTGAAGAGAAAAGTGAAATTTCCAGCATCCATTATGGTCTGAGACAGTATGTCATCAAAAGGAGTAGGAAAACTTCATTTTATTGATGGAAATGTGGATACAAACAAATATTTGGCAATTTTAGGAGAATCGCGTTTACCAGTGATGGAAGAATGTTTCAGCAAGATGGTGCAGCGTGCCATACCTCAAAAAAGGCTATAAAATGGATGGAAGAAAATAATGTACCACTTTTGGAATGGGTTTCTAGCAGTCCAGACCTGTCACCTATTGAAACTTTGTGGCACGAGTCGAAAAAGGTTCTACGACAACATCCTGCTCGTACAATCACCGAACTGAGACAAAAGCTTCAAGAAATATGGGATTGTTTTACACCAAATTTTTGCCAAAACTTGGTTAACACTATGCCCCAAAGAATGTCAGCCGTAATAAAAAATAAAGGTGATGTTATCCAATGGTAATCAATTGTTGCTTTGTTAACTCCGCGCATTTATTCGCACATTGTTTATTTGTTCAGATGTCTAAGTGATTTCAAATATGTATTTTTTACGACTAGAGTGTATCTAAAATGTTTTTGAAAAAATAAATTGTTTTAGAAGTAAATAGTTTCGCCATGTTTAGTTTATAAGGGCATATTTTGGTACTAATCTCGAAGTGGGCCAACTGAAGTGGGAAGGGGCTCGTATATACGACATATTGAGGGGAAAGATTCGAACTTTGATTCAAACACTTGACAACTCCAACAATAGTAATTTCTAACCGAGATAAAAGTAACTTTACTACAAAAATTGTTAAAGTATGAGAACAGAAGCCTGCATAGAAGCGGTAGGTAGTCATTTCCAACATTTGTTGTAAATACTTTGTCAAATTGTTGTTATCTTTCGTTCCTTACATATTAAAAATGGCTTATAAATAAATATTGTGCATCGCTTAAATTAAATTGACATGTAATAAAGTTGTTATTATTTTTTTCTCAAGAAAGAAGATACAAAGAGATATCAAGAGACTTGCATTTTAATCTGCTTAACTAAAAACAGAATTTAATTTTATTAGGGTCAGTGGCGTACAGTTTTCTTCAATATTGTGTCTGAGGCTGTCCTCAGGGACGCCACTGAAATCCATCATTATCTTCTAGTTAGTGCTGACTTAG